CCCCCCCTCTCACCGCTTGTCACTCTCCCCTCCACTCTCTTCTAAGTCCTTAAGCTGCTTTGGAGCTTTTGTTAAATCACCCTAATTAATTACCAACTCATTTGACAGCGATTTGAATGAGCAATAAATAATAAAATGATTCTATAAATCATCTTCATTCGCCAACTTGAAGTTGTGGTGGTGGAGTAAACGCATCCACGACAGAGTTGGCTAAGCCCGTCGTAGCTGTGGTTGGAGCGTTTGCATTTGCGCAAAATATTGGCGCGGCGTGACGCTGCCCCACCACTGACAACAACAATACACCTTTGTAAGTACATACTTAGTTAAGCACATCATGAGAAAGTGTAATGTCGGCATACGTACATATATACATACATCATATATACATATGTATGTGTATGTGTATGTGTATGCAATATTTGCTAGCTGAAGTTTACTAGTGCATACATACATATGTACATATGTATATGAAAGACATTTTATGACCGGCTCCTGATCTACCACCGCCGCGCAGCTGTGCGCATAATCGCTTCTGCATTAAGGCCCACTAACAACACAACACAACAAATAGGCAAAGTACCAGAATGTCTGTGCATGCAAATACATGCGGTGCGTGTGTGTGTGTAAGTGAATAAAAGCTGAATATCTATGTGGCATTTACATGGCTGAAGAAAGCCAAAGCCAATAGAAGGTATTTTCACGTTGCAGTGCACTGGATGTGCGCCGCCGCCGATCAATATTTATAAGTTAAATAGCCAAAGGCCTTTTAGGGTAAAAATAAATATACGCAAACGCACATTCAAATGCACATACATACCCTGCAGAGAAACCGCGGACTAGTGAATCCAATTTCTAGTTCCGTACTAGGTCTTTATCGCCAAAAAGGAACTAGTCCGATAGGAACTATATCCCCACCAGTCCAAAATCGGCGAAAAGTGGTACTTTTAAGAAACTAGTTTTTTCAGTTTTTTTCACTACAAATCTATATCTAAAGTGACGAATTTAGAATTGGTTCGGAACTATAGAAAAAGGGATGCAGCGGGGGGCTTGTTTACTTTACATAGATATGTGTTCGGCGGCTTTTTCGTTCAAATACGCTTCTATTCTGTGCTTCGCAGATGCTATTTCATAGTTTGGTAATACAAAACAAAGCTTTGTATTAACATATTAACATCTTGGGGCCATTTTTTGCCACTTTTAGGAATTGCTCTCAATGAAATTGCCTAACAAGACAGCTAACATTCCTACTTACATACACATACATACATACATACTTACTTAGTTGGACAGTTGCCGTTGCAGCATGCCAACGACCCAGTAAACGATGTGTGGCGAAACGAGAAAGCGCACCAACACAAACTACAATCATCCACAGCCACACCATGAACTTGGTCGATGGACAAGAGAACTCGTAACTAGTCAACCGTTCAATTCCATCGCTTATGATTTAACGCACTAGCCGCAATCTCAGCGGCAGTAGCACGGCCAACGGGTGAAAGAATGTCCGTACATACATACATACATATGTACGTACACGTGTCCAAGGAAACAGTAACAGAGTAACAACAGCGGCAACAATAATCAAGAATTTGCTGTCGTTGCCTTCTTGCTTTGCATGCCAGAATGTTAACACGCGCTCCAACTGCTTGTATGTTTGTGTTTTTGCGCGTTATCCTTTATTGGCCCGCTTTGAATACACACGAAGATCCTGACATTAAGCATTCGTTCCGTAAGGACGATGGCCGTTGCTGCGACGACGCTGCCTATCCAAATTCTCAGGCTTTCGTTTTCGTAGTATGCTACAGATTCTGGTCTACGCATCTCCCTATTAGATGGCTTCAAAACAGAGCCATCCTTTGGATGGTCGAACTTTAGAAATTAAAAAATGCCATATGAGGCATATCTTGTCCCCACTACGCAACACGAATCACTCTCATGAAATAGTTATGTTGCTAGAACCTAATATGCGCATCGCCTTCCACCAAAGACATTCTTCCTGGAAGTAATGCAAAAAAGAACTTTTTATAAAGTAAAGGTAAAAAAGCCCAATCCAATCCTTCCATTGGAGAAATCACACTAATTTTGGTAGGGTTTGTGCAGAGTCAATTCTTGTGCCACAAAGTCTCAATCGTATTCAGTGCTGTTTGCACTCTCATCGACTGTGAGAGGTTGGCCCAAATAGGCATCCTCATACGCGAGAAGCAGGCGGCAGACAACAGGCAGGGGCCGTGCTTTCATTCTGGTCAGGGTGGACAATTGAAGTAGCGGCTATCATATCGCCGTTCTAAGCAATGACGAGATCCCGATCTGTATGTCTCCAAAATGAAGAGTGAAACAGGATTGGGGCTTAAGACGGTTGGGTCAGCAACTAGTAACCCGATATGTGTTCTAGGACATTGAAGAACTCTACAATCTCTTCGACAGCTTATAGTGAATCTCTCCTGGGTCCAAAGACACAGAGGTATTTCAGGAAATTAGGAAGCAGACGATTGTGCGAGAAAGGAATATGAGATTGGATTAGGGGAATCTGGTCAAAGCACACAACTTAACTGCGATCCCAATTCTAACGTGTTAAGGAGACGATTGCAGCAGCTCGGCAACTGCTCGGAGTGAACGAAGAAAATGTAGTTTACAAAAGCTCTCAAAACCAAGCAGGGACTAGATCATTAGCCATATAGCTGGAAGGCCCGTAGTATCGCATATCTATTACTGGAGAAGAAGAAGATTTGAGGTAGAGGCAGAATCCATTCAGGTTTTCTATGCGAGCGCCCGCACTAGATACCGATTTTTCTACGGCACACTGTGGGCTAAATTGCATGTTTTTGGATTACAGCCCAATATAACGAGAAGGAGTAGAGATAGCCGCTTGCTTCAACTATTAAACGACATAACTCGAACTTTATTATTGCCATTCCATACCGAGAATGCATTCCAGTTTTGGGTTAGCTCTGCATTAGAACAAAATTTAATGTCAAAAACATTCCCGCAAAAGAACCAAATGCGAACAATAGTTTTGAGCTCAGTTTTAGCGGGAATAAAATGAGAACAAAAAGTTTGGGGATGTTTTCGTGCGAATAAAACTCCCGGGAACGTTCTCAAGAAGAACATAATGAGAACGAAACTTTCGGGAACGTTTCCAATGAGAACAAGATGAGAACGAAAGTATCGAGAACGTTTTCAAGGAAGATCTAATTAGAACAAAAGTCTGATGAACATTTTGCTAGAGAGAAAACCGAAAACAAAAGCTTTGAGAACTTAACGTTAAGAATTAAAGGGGCGTCTAAGTATTGTGATGAAAAATCTTTTCAGAGAGCGCCACGATTGTTAGTTCTATTTCAGAGGAGATCTGGACCATTTCAACTTCCAGATCGTTTTTCATTGGGGTGAACTGCCCACTTGTGGAAAAATTTTGCATTTTCTATGCAAGAAAGTTCGAGCCTTTAGTCTTTCGTTAACTTACCTAATTTGCATAGTTATATTTCAGTTCTTTTTTGATTAACTTTAATATTCAAGCATTTCAAACTAATGAATGCCATTTGAAAAATTTTGTCCCCGCTTCCGTTCTTCGCGAATAGTTCAGATAAGATTTGCTTCCGTTTCCTTCTCTGTCAGAAAGTTACTAAGACTTGAATTCCCAAA